AAAGAAGCATGTGACCAATTCGCATAATGTTCTTTAAATAGATACTTCATTGCATTTATTTCCAGTTGACAGCTTAAACACTTGATTATTCAATTACTTAACTAATGTGGTATGCATCTCCTATTATAATATGAATGTGAAACTGTAGACGTAAATTCGTGTTTAGACGTTATGATTAGACTGTACGGGTGTTTGTTACTTTATCGCAACGAAAGCTAATATTATGTGCTAATTTACTCAGCTGCTTTAAATGTCAGCATGTTAGGTAGGCAAGTGTTGGGAATGATATGGACAAAGACATAAATCTAAGTTTTAAACCTCTTTGATCTCGTTTTCAGGATATGTCTTTAAATCTGATTCCACATTCTTGGGCCTCAGTTAAGTCCTAAGATAACCTTCGTTATTTTGAATTACCCCCATTGAGACTAGGCTATAACTTATCATTCGGTTGCCCCCAAAAGGTAGAACGAGCCTGCTCTCCCTCTCGAAATGCTCACGCATGGCCTCGCATATACAGCCACTGCCAGGAAAGTCCTAATCATTGCCTTCTCACGGTGGGGGTATTGTTTACGAAATTGAGAGGACGAAAAGCGATTTTCCAGCTTTTTAACCGGGTTGGTGGTCACGGAGAGTCCACCTAGGGGAGTTGGAAAACCCTGATTCCAAGCCAATGGTGCACATGGACTCCAGGATCCTGAGAGAACAAATAATGTATGAACCTATTGTTGGTGACCGGTACCATTGGACTGCATGTCCTATCGTTGCTCCACTGCCTTGAGAATTAGACCTTTAGGTCAAAGGCTCGGAGTGTGACTCTAAGAAAACTATTTACTTTAGTTTGGGCACCCGGGCAGTATCCCAGCCCATACACAAACCAATGATAACTACGTCTGGAAAATTTTCTATTGCTTCAACGCTTATCCAGACAAATCCTATTCTCAATCATCTGATAACACTCATTTTTATTTCTTTTATACTACGTCACTTATATACTGCTCTTTATTCTCATTTTTATTTTTTTACTTTTAGACTTATACAGCAGCTTGCCTATGACGGAAACCCTGTCCTGTATAAAGGATCTCAAGTCGCTGATACGTTGAAATTCGAATGCTACCGCTGACTATGAATACTGATCCAGTCTTTCTGAAACCACGTATACCATTTAAACTGGCCTCCTTCAACGTTCGCACACTAATGCAGATCGTATGACCGATAGGGTTGGCTATGTCTTCAGAAAGTTTCAACATCGATATCTGTTGTCTATCTGAGACCCGTATTCAAGACTAATGAAATACTACAAATTCGCTCTCCATCTGTCACTTCGAGAAGCTTGTTTCATGCGCGTTTTTCCGGGGACACTGGCTTCTTCGTGTGGTTTCGCTGGCGTTGGTGTCTCACTAAGCGCTAGAGCTGAAGCAGCACTGATCTATTAGATCCCCATTAACAGTTGTTTATGTGCTGTTAGATTTGAAAGCTCCATCAAAATGCAAAGAAATCGATATGATAAACGATGTATTTTCAACATCACCTATGCAGTCCGTATGCGATCAAGGATAAGTTCTATCGCCAGTTAATTGTTCTTCTACAGAAAGTGCTTTCGACAGATATCATAGCTCTAACCGAAGACTTAAATACTCAGGTCAGGCATCTAGGTACAGAAGAGAGTCGTTTAGGTAGCTAATGGGGACTTGTTGGTCGCGGGTCAGATAACGGTGATCGTCTACTACAACCTGTTACTGGCTAAAACTAACCACCGGTATAGCCATCGCCGATGTGCTACCTGGAGCCCTCCTTCTGCATTTCAAACCAGGGCTCAGATTAATCACACCGCGATCAGCTATCGCTGATGTTGTTGTGTACAAGACTGGAGCACCTTTTGGAGTACCTATCTGGACTCTGTTCATGCCTTTGCTTGTGCTTATCCTACCTTACGTTTCAGTGGTCAGCAAACTCGTCATTTTAATTGGATCAATGTCAGTAAATTGGTTGCAGCCTCTGTCGCAACTAAATATCAAACCGAGCTAGGTTCAAGGCTAGTTACCAGCCCACCGAAAAGTAAAGATGAGCTTTGGTTGCAATTGCATGACGCTAGTAAAATGGTGAGTAAAGTCTCTCGCAACTTCGCGAAACGTCCTGCTTATGAACACTGAGTTTCTTTAGGCCCCTTACAACTCATTGACACCCGTTGGTCTACTCTGAATGACCGAGTTTGACCACAAACGAAGACTGTTATCTGATGAATTTGAGTAAAGCTTGTTTAAAGACCGAGAAGCCTGGTGGTCGGAGCGTGCTAATGAGCTGGAAGCAGCAGCTGCATTTGGTAACTATCGGAAGCTCTTCCAACTCATCCGAGCCACTGGCAGCAAGAAGTCAGGTGTGAGCGAAACAATCTGTGAGGATGACGGGATGCCAGTCACTAACATCCATCGACGTCTTGGATGATGGACAGGGTTTTTCGAGGATTAGTTCAGCTAGTCTACCACCCCAGCAACATCGATCAGACTGTCCTGCCCTCCATGATTGATGATGACTGACCCACCTAACGAAGAGGAATTCCGCAATGAACTCCAAATCTTGGAGCGCCACAAGTTGCCAGGCCTATATTACTTACCTCTAGCCCTTTTTAAAAATAATGACCTTCTAGTTAAAGAACTGACTGAATTGTTTACGAAGGTCTAGAAATTGGAGAGTGTCCCAACATCGTAGGATGGATGAGTCAATAGTTGTCTATATTTTTCAAAGAAGGATCACTTCGTTTCTTCAATAACTATCGGGGAATAAATCTACTTCCGATTGAGTACAAACTATTGGCCTCCGTCGTACTTTGTAGATTGTTGAAAACCCGAGAAAGATTGTCTTGCGAGGAGCAGGCTGGTTTACGTTCTGGTCGAGGATGCATTGATGACATCTTCACTCTGTCCCAAAGTTTAGAACACCGTCATACTTATTACAGGTCAACTATCGTAGTGTTTCTTGACATTAGGGCCTCCTTCACTTCATTGGACGGGACCATTCTCTGGGATTGTCTATTGAAGAAGGATTTGTTTAAGAAGTTTATTCACACCTTAAGAGCCCTATATACAAGCACTTCAGGTAGATTGACGGCATACAACCACCTTTCTCCATTGCTCTATTCAAGCAGTGGGGTTAGAGAGGTTCAAACAATTTCACCATTCTTCTTCAACTTTGCCATCGATGGGGTTCTGGGAACAGTTCTCATGGATGTAGGTAATGGTGGTGTAGATCTGTCACCTGGAAAACGACTCTTTGACCTTGAGTGTGTGGATGATATTGTCTTACTGTGTGATGGTATCCATGCTATGCAGTCCACACTTAATCAGTTGGCAGTTAGTGTCCGTACGTATGGCATGTGGTTTACACCTTTTAAGTGCAAAATACTTTTACAAGACTGGCATCACCCTCTTTGTTTGATCATCGTTTTCTCCTATTGATTTCCGACATTCAAGGGCAACACCATGTTAGTAATACAGAGGTTCGGCATCGTGTGTTCGGGCACAGCGACGATAACTCAATTAGTGTCACTATCTTGAAACATTGAGTTCGGTGGCCTGGACATGTTCTACGAATGTCGTCCCGGAGAATCCCTCGTCGTGCATTATTTGCCGACGCTGGGACTGGTCAGAAAATGCGGAGAGGTGGTCAGTGTTATGACGTGGTGTCGTGGTACAAACGAACGCTGTACGGGACTGGCTCCTGTTTGTCCTTCACGAATCTGTGGTTGGGATCCTAGATATGGTGAAACACAGTGGCTAGAGACGTTATCAGATATGGCTCAGAATAAAAGCCAGTGGCGACTCTGCTGTAACTTTCTTTATAAAAGCGAACGTAACTTTAAGGGAAAGAATTCTTTTTGGTTGTATTTTTGTTGACTGAACTGTTTCTCACATTATCATTATTATTATTACTACCACTTTTATTAGTTATTATTGTCATCATTACTATTATTATTATTATTACTACCACTTTTACTTTTGTTACTATTATGTTTATTATTATTAGTTCTAACAAATAAGAAGGGACTACATCAAAAATAAAATCACGCTCACCAGTTCGGTGACTGCATATATATGAGATGGGACAGTTCATAAACCGGTTATGTATAAAGTCATATAGAGGGAATTTTTACGAATAAGAACGAAATTAAGAAGTTAGGAGGAACATTTTGGTAAATCACAGTAGCGTGGAATAAAGATTTCCTAAGTGAATCTAACTGGATTCTGCTATTCCGACTATGGATAGTTTGTAGCATCAATTACAGTTATCAATCGTAAACTTTGTATGTTCGGTTAGCTACCATTCAAAATAATATAAACTCTCAGTTCTAAAACTCGGCTTTTTATTGTGTGTCTACTATGAAGCTCGTATTATGGTTCATCCACTCTAGTAGCTAGATTAGGTCCTATCTATTATTTTCGTAAGCACTCAGCTGGTATCATCTTCATCGCAAAATGTAGCTGAAAATCTCGTTAATCTGAACGTCACGTTCTTAAATTTATATTGTTCCTTGAAGTACATGTAGACCAAGGGAGCTCACTGGTGGTCATGCCAAAAATGGCACTAATGTAATGTGACTAACCGTTCACATAAGTTTGCTATGGATATATAATATTTCATGAAACAGACTAAATCGTTTCCAAAACTTTTATTGATGAGGCTTTTATTCAACTAACATGGGAAAGATCTATTCATTTTTTTTGCACCTGTCAAAAAATAGCGATTGAACTATTTTGATCGCACCATTTTAATTATGCTGTCTACAATTTTTATGATTCCATTACTGAGGTCACCTTCACTGTGCTTTGAAATATCAAGACATAGATTGGTCCATTCACATCACCAACTGTTTCATCATTTTTTCAATGTTCATTGCTGAACACTAATCGTCTTTGTATGATTATGCAAGATGTAAACTTTTTAAAAGATATCTTCAATGTACTAACACTGGATAAAAATTTTATTGTCTTCTGTCTGTTCGTTAGTGGATAATGGTCGAATTGGCTTGTACATTCTCTGGTTATACTATTGTACCATTGTATGATACTTTAGGCGAGGAAGCTATTTTAACTATACTTAAACAAAGTAAGAATGAAGGTTTTTTATCAGTTTATTTTTTTCCAATGGAGTTCAGTCATTTTTCAGTACAGTAACTCACCTTAAAACTTTGTTTTAGGGTTCGTTTCAGTCATTAATTTAGATAAGTGTATCTATGACTAAAGAATACTAGATGAATACTAGATTGAAGTCTTTTTAAACGTGGTTGAATAATGAACAGTAATATCATTTAAGATATAGTTACAAGATATAGATACAAGTGTCCAGCACTCATATAATGTTTGTTCTTTGAATTATTTGATTTAGGCTGAACTATATTTATTAATGTCCAGTTTGATGAGTACCATTCAAACGAAGAACAATGAAAGGTTGAATTTGATTCTATCTTTCTTAATAAATGAAAGTCTGAATAGTGGGTTCCATCTCCAGAACAAATAAATAGTTCTTGGTGTCATCACTACCGCTCAAAAAGTTGTCAAAGAAGACAGCAGTTATTCTTCTTCCAGTTTCTCAAATCCAACTAATCAAACATGTGAGGAGAATTGACCGCATTAGAAATAAACATTTTAGGACGTTCACCAATGCAGCTTTAATTAACTCAGCTACGTAGTTATATTAGTGTTTTTGAACAACTTATGCTAACATGGGACCAATCAAAACATGTCATCTAATCGTTTTTCTGTTGTCTTTTGAAGTAGTTGACAATGAATATGTTTTGATTCTTCAGTAATAGTCTAAACGTTATCTTCCCATGTTCCTCCTGATCAATCTATATATATGTGATACTGCAGAGTCGCGACCGTGTTTGTTGTTTGTTTGTGTCCAGTCATTGTAAATTGGTTTCTATTTCCGGATTATTCTTCACTGTCATATTAGCACGTTTTAGTGGAATGGGTCGGAGGTTTAAGTTCTTTTGGACATTACCAGTAAATATTTAATTAGCTAGGATGCTTCAAACAATTATTTCGTCCTTCTGTTCATCGGGATTTGCGATTACATTATCTGTGTTTGCCACATGATAGTCTGTTCATTTTGTTCAAATAGTCTCTAAGTATGAAAATTGTCGTAATGTTTTTCTTTTTATTTCTAAAAGGTGCTTTAAAATTCATGATATAAAAATACCGAAACAGTTTTATAAAGTTGTGCGCTATTACCATCCAATCTACTGTTTAGATAATGAATGCTCATACCAATTTGCACACGTTTGGTTCAATAACATTAAACTAGTAACTAAAATCTAAAAGAATAGACTATTTGTCCCGGCTTCCACTCTGTGTAAATAGACATTAACGTTTATGCATTTAATATTTCTATTGAACTAGTCCGCTAAGCTATGCTATATTAATTTAGAATTTCTTTCATATTCATTGTACAGAAGATTATATTTTTCCGATGAGTGGAGGTAAAATAGTTTTATTTACATTTATCAGAGTTCGTTGTTTCATATAATATTTACGGCCACTATTGGTAGAAGAGATTGAGCTCCTAGTGTTGTATTAAAATAACCACTACGTAAAAAAGAAAACAAATAAAACGCCATTTGAAAAATCTTTATAAGTTTTTTTCTGTTGTATCGAAAAAATATTTCAAGCTGCTTCACTGATGACAACATTGAAAGAGGTTTTTCTATTGGTCAACAACAAAAGCCACCCATCTAAAATTATATTATTATAAGCATTAATTCTTAACTATGATTCTTTTGTAAAGTTTATGAACGACAGCAGAAACGTCCATTTTATTTAATCTCTGTAAAAATCTACATAGCTGAAAATTTATCAGATGACAGCAATATATTTCATTTAGATTACATACATAAGAGTATATCGATAACATTAAATAAGCTCAGTGTTTATCAAGACCTATAATTAAAAGGGTTTTCCCGTAAAAATCAATGCGTCTATAGAAGCCACGAATACTGTAGCTAAGAGAAGTTAAATGAAAAGATAGTCTTCTCGAGAACAAACTATAATACTTTTTTAGGGTACTAAAATATTTTCGAACAGTAAACTATTGCTCATTCATACCATTTAAATTGAAATCGAGATGCATACTATTATCACCCAGTAATGACTCGTACGATTCAATAAATACGTTAGAAGTTTTCCCTTTTTTATTTCATTTAAACCATTCCGACCAGAAGTAAGGTAATTCTTTCTTTCATTCCATTTTATAAAGTCATTAGACGTTTTTAAATATTCACTTAATGATAGACATATATCGCTTTATTGTCAGAATGAGGGTTAGTGTAGATTGTAGTAATTTTAATAATTGAATTCATGAGTCAGTCTACGCTAGACCACCGCTAGACGACCGTCCAGCGCTTGCAGGTTTTGAATGGTGGTCTAGCTTAGATCGACTCATTAATTCAACTATATATCGCTCTTTCATTTTTTAACCTTCAATCAACATGGTTATGATACATGTGGAGAAAACCAATGGATTAAAAATACAGTTTTTTTCCAGAAATGAATGAACAAACTATTCACTTGAATCTTGTTTCAGCGATTATGAATTTTAATATCCAAGTCTTTGTTAATATGCTAACTAATTACTCTCACTCTATTCGTTCTAATCTTCATTTCCTATCTAGCTAAGCTCCCAATAATGTTTTGTGACTCAGTTGAAGTAGCACAACGTATTACTACGTTCGCACCTGACACTTTACAACACATTATCTTATTTCCTAACTCGTCTACAAATGCAAAGTCTGCTTCTGTTTCATCAGTTAACAGTTTGGTAAAAATTTACGACTATGAAGAATTCCTAGTGAGTTTCATTTTCATATACATTTTAAACATGTTAGTAACATTTGTTAATTCGACCCGGTTGTTAAAAGACAGAATGAAACTAATCCTTCAGTGAACTGTACATTGTTAGTATTAATAATGTCGGGTTGCTTTTTTCATGTTCCGAGTTTTTTCTTATACTCACGACCAGTTTTTTATCCTTATCTGTTTATCGTTTTTGATGTATTTTAGCTTTAAGCAGTAAACGGACGAATGTTAACCAGGGATGGACAGCCTTTTTAAAAATTGCTTATCCGAGTTTAACTATGAAAATTCTGGTACTTAATATAAACTTAGTTCTTCTGTCCATCAATCTGATCAGATGTGTTTTACTATTAATTCGTAAATGAACTATTATGACAATGAATTTATCACTAGAATTGCCCTGAAACCTAGTTGCTCATAATCAAATATTTGCTAAATACTTCAAAATAACAGAAAACCATGTTTTTTTCGACTTAATTAACCGAGCATCAAACAAATCGTGGCTTACTAGTAAAGTAGCTAGTATTTCCATGTATTGATTGAAGTTTGATGTTCAGGTTCGTACCAATAGGCTGTCTTGCAATTAGGTTTCAAAACTTTAGAGTTCATATCAACAAGTTGTATCTGGAGGCTTGAGTAAATTGATTCTCACTACTAAATATTTATACTGATATTTGACTGAAATTTAAGAATCACTAGTATCAAATTCTAACTTACTAAAGCGCTTTATTACAAGTATTTTTTCGAAGCTGATAATTAGAATAAGTATGCAATAGGTTTTACAGTTTTTAATGACTACTTTTCATTTATGATAATTGTGACCTTGTCAAGGAAATAAGTTAGTGTTTATTATTGGTCATTTATCAATCCTCTATATGTTCGCATATCTTTCCGGTTGGTGCATACACTACAAGTCACAAATAACAAGATTAACTAAAACTAACCAATCTATAGACCATCCATCATCTTATAACTATCACTTTTACTAGTATCATAGTTTTTGTAGTTTGATGCATTCATACATTCTCCTTATTGTCACTGGTCATTGTTTTCTAATAATGTACGACCTCTTTTCTAGACCGTGTGATCTAAAGCCCAATGAGTAAATCTTGGTAAATTAGTTACATTGTTTTGTTTTCCTCTTCGTTATTTACAGGACACCTATATTTTGTAATCCTTAACATCATTCCCAACTAATAGAGAGCCTTATAACGTTAATAATATTTAAGCCCTTTAGAATCATCACAAGTCATAACTTGGTAACTCAATAACAGTAGGTTGTAACGACAGTAATAAGCGGATAATTATGATTCAGTCATGCCAGTTGTTTGTTTTCAGTACATAAATAGAACCACACAACAAAACATGAACAAAACACATGACTTCGCTTCATTCATTTACCTATTTCAATGATACTGACTAGCTAGGTTAAAGAGCAAGCATAACCCGTTTAAACTAGGTTTTTGAGACACCAAGATTTATAGGTAAACAGGATTTGATATAACAGTTCTGTAACACAACAGTAAGCTTAATTAAAAGCTATGGTCAATGTGTCTAGTGTTTTTATGCAGTTGCTTATTGGTTAAAGCAATAGACTCATATTTTCTGTTTATTTTTATCTGAGAAACTAAATATATTCACTAGTTTTTACAGAAATAGGATATAAGCACCTATACTTGACTAGTGAGTTGCAATAAATTAAATTAATACAGTTTATCATTCTACTAACATCGATAGTCATTGATGTAACTAGACAATAAGGAAGCATAAAATGATTTAATTGGTAGATGTATTTTATTTCATTTATTGTCAGTTTAATGCTAGTATGTCTTGTCAACTTAAAACTTTTAGTTTAACATTATGTTATCTTTAGTATTATCGAATAAAAATGAACATTAGTTACTCTTGAAGATACTCCTGTTATTATCAGATTGTGTTCAAGAGGACAGAATGTACTGCCTTATTTATTCTACACTGTTGGAAATTTTCGAATGCCATTTTTTTCATCAAACAATTAATTGAAAAGAATATACAAATGTGAGAGTACAGGAATACTCCTCATTGATCTCAACTTTCATATTAACTTAAAGGAGAGAAAAAATTTTAAGATATTAATTGTAATTTTTAAATGTTCATGAAACATTTTCATGTTTCTTCTTATTTGTTCATAAACATGACACTTTTTTCAATATCTTCACTTAGCAAAGTATTTTTGTTTGGATACCTACAATTGATCAAAAAATGATAAATCCATTCGAATACGTGGAGTTTTTTTAAAAAAAATTGTGCCCAATACCATGAAAAAATTCGTAAGGCAAAAATCACTGTAAAGTCTTACTGCTACTTTAATCCATCTTTAAGAGTTAAATTTATTTCAATTGAGTGAGTCATTGTCAGGTTTTATTATCATTGTTTAGAAAAAGTAGGCGAGGCTGAGCGACTGAAAGAGAAAAGTATTTTATAGTTTTCTTTGTTTTTGATTGTCTCGCTTTTGACTACCAAGCTCTGTTTACCTTTTGACCTTTTCTTATTTGCCATCGTCACACCACTTATTGGATTCTGCCCCAATTTATTTTTACTTCACAATGGTTTGTTCTGTGAATCAATAAAAGAGATATATGGGTCAATGTTACCTATTTCAAATTATATTGCATTCACAAAAAACGAATAAACAATTCATCTGTACCTAGGCAACGAAATTTCTTCATCCGAAGCAAAGTATCGGAACATTGTATCAATAAAACAGGTCGAACAAGGGGAAGAGTAGGAGTAGTATGGCAAAAAATATCACTATTGGAGCATTTCCTACACAGGCTTTACAATAAAGATTATTAGACGTTTGTAATAAGATCCATTCCAACATTACTAGCTGATAACAATAACTATTTATCGAAAATAACGATAGAGAAAAATGAATGTTGCTATTATTATGGCATTGTAGAGAAAACTTTTTATGTAACCGAAAAATTAATCTCGAATTCCACAGAAACGAGTTAAGAATAATTAATATGATTTATAGCATAACACCCATCCAATAACCTGTTTACTTGGCTTCATATATGCAGATAAAAAACTAAACGTCAGTGATTGGATGAGAGAGGATATCATCTATGCATTTAGATAAGGAGGTACAGTTTTAGACAAGAACACTAAAATTAAACAATATCGGAACCAGAAATCTTACACCTAAACAGTTCATGATGACTGTGTTGTAGACCAATTATTACAAGACTGGGAAAGAAAAATTGAGAACGTCAATGGAACACTTGAGAACGAAGAGTGGAGCTGACATTGATTCAGATCACCACCTGGCAAATACCTCGATGAAACTAAATGTAATAATGCACTGGAAAACTGGGGAAACAGCATTACAAAGGTTTAATATAGCCTGCCTTCAAGATACTGATAGACTCTGCGAATTCAAGGTAGGTCTCAGGAACAGGTGTCAAGCCTTACAAGTGTTGAGCAGACCCTGAAAACTCTGGGAACCATATTTTCCACTAAGCATTCGATAGAATTTCTTCAAAAGCATCTGCAAAGTGAAAACTCACGCGTCACATTTCTGGTTGGATGCTTACCTATATTACTACTATGTTTATATGGGTTCCAGAACTTCCCAAAAGCCCATGCCATCTGAAATGCTATAAATATCCTTGATTTTCTGTACATAAAATAACCTTGGAGTGAAGCGTTCTTTCCATATTTCGAGTCTGTTTCTCGTGTTCAAGTTGCCGTGTAGATTTAGCCTGGGTTTACTAGAAGAGCTTAGGAAAGCGAATCAAGCGTTCAGTTAGAAGATTTATCATAAACATCTACTCAAGGTAGAAGAAACCGCTATGGGAAACAACGGAAAAGGAACCAAACAAGCAGTAACTTAAACATGGTAGTACGTGCTATGCCCCCAACAAGCACCAGCCTAGAGAACGAATGTCTACTGATACCTTTGGCAAGATCCAAAAAAGCATGAAGAAGAAGGCAGCAATCAACTACAGCCGAGTAAGAGTTGAGAAAGCCAAGGCACAAACCGAATACACAAGCAAATAAACCAGTGATTACGACTATTAGAGCTGATAAGCGAAAAATGCTACAACAGAAAGAAAGTACAACGAAGAAGCTAGCTGGAAGATACGGTAAACCAGAAAGGTCAGTCGAGGACAAAGAAGACAAACCAGTCAGTGAGATTCAAGAACAGAGGAACAGATTGGTAGAACAGATTTGAAGAGCTCGTGAATTGACCAGGTCCACTGAACCCAACGAACATCGAGGCAGCACACACAGACCTTCCTATATATTTCACCCTCACCAACAATCGGAAGAGTCAGCATGGTCATCAGACAAATGAAGAGTGGGAAAGCAGTCAGAAATAGAAGTAACTGCAAACATGCTCATCGTTCTATTCAGGAAGATTTGGGAGTAAGAACAAGTGCCGATAAACTGGGTGCATGGATACTTCATCAAGATGCCAAAGAAAGATGAGCAAATGTGAGAACTATTGGGGCACCATGCTACTCTCAGTACAAGGAATGGTTTTCAACAGTGTTGTTGAACCATATGAAAGGCTCAGTAGACGTCCAGCTTCGAGATCAACAAACTGAATTCCGTAAGGATCGGTCGTGCACAAACCATATCGCAATATTATTGAACAATCATTTAAATGGAACTCGCCACTATACATTAACTTTCTTTACTATGAAAAAGCATTTGACAGTGTAGATGGCAAAACGTTATGGAAACTTCGTCGACACTATGATGTATCTGAGAAGATCGTCAATATCATATGGAATTCACATGATGGACTACAGTACAAAGTGGTGGATGAAGGACAGCTCAAAAATGCATGTCAAGCGAGGACCGGTTTCAGACAGACTTTCTTGCTCTCTGTCTTGCTCTTTCGTCGGATGGTTGACTGGATTATAGAGACCTACACATCTATGAGGAAGCACGGAATTCAATGGACAAGTTGTATGTAACTAAACGATTTGGACTTCGCAGACGATCTAGCTCTTCTATCCCATGCACATCAACAAATGCAGGTCAAGACTAACAGTGTAGCAGTAGGCCTCAATATACACAAGGGAAAAAGCAATATCCTCAAATTCAACACAGAACAATCACACTCGATGGAGAAACTCTAAGAGTGGTGGAAAATTTCACGTACCTGAGAAGCATCACCGATGGACAGGGAATATCTGATGCAGATGTAAAGCTAAGGATTGACAAAGCATGGGAAGTATTCCCACAACTGAAGAACATATGGAACTCAAAACAACAAGTATTTCTAAACGATTATCTACGTAAGATACTCAATATCCGTTAGTCGGATATCACCAGCAACAGCCTACTATGGAAGAGAACAAACCAGGTACCAACTGAAGAGAAAATTAGGGGAAGACGTTAACAGTGAACAGGACAGTCATTGAGGAAATCATCACACATGTATCACGAGGCAAACGCTAACTTGAAATCCTGAAGGTGAAAGTAAAAGAGAAGACCAGTGAACACATTGCATCCGGATTAGAAAACACATCAAAATAATGAATCTTGCTTGAGAAAAACTGAGAAGAAGAGCCCAGGACATAGTTGGTTGCCGAATCCCGATCGGCGGCATATGCTCCTCCACGAGGGGTAACAGGCGTATGTAAGTGCCGATGTGTTGACAAGTGTTTATCTTGTAATGGATTATCTTCCAAATCCCTTTTAAGGCTTCATATATCAACTATCCTGATAACAATTATTAGATAAATCCCAGTGGTGTGTAAATTTTAGAAAGCACCATGAAGCGTCGACCTTAGTGGATTACTGAATAGCTCAGATCACAAGCACACGAACGAAATCGAGCAGAAATGCTAATGAGTGAACAAGCGAATACACAGGCAATTTAAAAGTCATTTACTCATATTGGATCATTCAATTTTATTTGTTTTTGTAAACATTTAGTCGCCTTTCCCAGCCACATAGCTTGGCGGTGCCGATTGGCTTATCTGGACACATTGATGATATGGCACAACTACTGGGACTCAATAGCTGTCTATCCCTTGATCTTGCCTTTTCTTATTTCACATCCAGTTGTTGTGGACCATTTATGAGTCATATAGCAATGATCATATGCTTTATGTTTTCTTTTCTTATTCTTGACGATCGCCGAGACCCCGGGGTCTTTTGTTTGCTTATATTTCCTCTTTTCCTGCTAAAATTCTTTTATTTTTTGTAGATTGCATGTTTATATGTGTCTCATTAGTCATCCTTATGTTTTATTTTCTTCTGGATAATCTTCTATTGGACGTGCATATATGTTTTTACGATTTCTGTTCCTTTATTCCAATGATCATTTCTGAAGATACGATGTATCTCTTTATTGGGAGTAAAAAGTCGATTGCAGTTTCTACTTAAAAATTTGATTAATAGCTATCGTTTTCCAACTATGGTGGGTTTATAATGATTATCAGCTTTAATTTATACGGACTGTTCAACTAGTTATTAGTTAGTTGTTTGTTAAGTGTCTGTAAATCTGCTGTATTTGTCTGATCCAACCTCTTTGTATGGGATTCTCGCATCAGAAGTTTGCATTCTATCTTGCTGTCAATCACTTTGCACATATTGTTGTTCTCTTTTGTGTTTGGCTGTCTGCCATAAGTTCGGTCAGTTTTGTCAGATATTTTCAGTTAATGTTCTCTTTTAACTCATTTACTGCTTGTTTTTGCTTTTTATTTTTTATTTCTAAAATCACCCGTGTCCCAGTATTTAACACTTTCTAGTTTCATTGAATCTTTTTCTGAACTATACTACTAAAATTTCAATGCTGGTTAATTGCTAACCGCGAGTTTACTCATAAAGTGACTATGACATTTTTGAAATTTTATTGTATAATATACTTTCTAATTTAAATTTTAGGAGTTCAGTACTGGAGAACTCATTTGCACTGAAGTGAGTTTTTTTCCTAATAAGTATATATCGATTCTTTTTTTGTGGTATACCTCTTTCCTGTGTATTTTTTTTGCATTAAGAGTCATCTATACATTATTTTACAATTATTTACCAACAACAGTTTATTTGAACCCATCGTTTTAAAGGTCTCGCATTCATAGTTCTTTCTCTTTCATGAGTAATCGTCAAATGACAATATTTACTGATAGGCATCATTTGGTTATATTTTCTGTGTCGTCGCAAGTAATTTCAAGATTTATTGCTGTCTTTAACTAGAGTATGACTATTTTTTTAAAATCGTTTGTATTTTCCTATCAAAAATTACTGTATTGGTTACTCAATCAAAATGGCCGTTTGTTTATCTCGAAGAAAACGTAGATACTTGAGTGGCACGAAAGGATCTACGGGTTGACTAATGGTTAGCTTAAATTGTAAAGTTACGTCGTATACAGAGAGAAATCGACTGATGTTTTTAAGTCCACGGCATAAAATAACTAAAGATATCATTACAGTTCGCCTTTGACTATTGACATAACATTACACTATGGTTTATAATCTATTTATCTATCACAGCCCCCGAATGCCCTGGTACGGCCGAGAGTGGGGTGAGTCCGCTCTCCCTCTCGAAATACTCTCACACGGCCGCGCGTATACAGCCTCTGCCAGGGAAGTCCTACTCATTGCCTTCTCGTGGCGGGGGTGTTGTTTACGAAAATGAGAGGACGAAAAGCGAATGTCCGGCGCTTTAACCGGATCACAAACCAATGGTGCACATGGGCTCCAGTATCCTGCGGGAACAAATGGCGTATGAACCAATCTTTGGTCACCGGCTACCATGGGATTGCATCTCCTTACGATGCTCCACTGCCTTGTGGGTTAGACCTTTAGGTCAAAGGCTCGGGGAGTGGCCCCCTAAGAAAACCACCTGCTTCGGTTTGGGCACCCGGGCAGTATCACAGCCCACACACAAACGATGAACTCTATGTCTATGGCAACTACTTTTATCGCTCCGAAAAACAATCAATCGATTCAAATAATTATCATTACTATTATTGTCATTATTAATACTATTATTATTACTATTATTGTCGTTATTATTATTATTATTATTATTATTATTATTATTATTATTATTATTATTATTATTATTATTTCCCACATTATTCACCCTCTTTTATACTTATACAGCGGCTCGTCTTTGGTGGAATTCCGACTGTATCTAAACGTTCTCGAGTCACTGTCCGGTTGAAAGTTGTATGTCACCATCGAATATGAGTACTGAAGCAGTTTTTCTGAAACCACGTGCGCCATTCAAACTGGCTGCCTTCAACGTTCGCACACTTATGCAGGTTAGTCAACAGATAGGGCTGGCTATGTCTTTGGAAAGTCTTAATATTGATGTTTGTTGTCTATCCGAGACCCGTATTCAAGACTCTAGCGAAGTACTACAAATTCGCTCTACATCTGTCACTTCAAAAAGCTTGTTTTACGTGCGCTTATCCGGGGACCCTGTGGCATCTTCGTCTGGTCTTGCAGGCGTTGGTGTCGCACTAAGCGCTAGAGCTGAGGCAGCACTAGTCGATTGGATCCCCATTAACAGTCGGTTATGTGCTGTTAGATTAGAAAGTTCCATCAAAGTGAGAAGAAATCGGCGTGAGAAACGATGTCTTTTCGTCATCTCCGCCTATGCCCCGACAGATTGCAGCCCGGATGCAATCAAGAATGAGTTTTACCACCAGTTATCAGTTCTTCTCCAGAAAGTGCGTTCGACAGATATTGTAGTACTAGCCGGAGACTTGAATGCTCAGGTCGGGCGTCTAGGCACAGAAGAGAGTCGTTTAGGTGGCCGATGGGGACTTGTTGGTCGCGGGTCAGATAACGGGGACCGTCTACTGCAACTTTGCACAGACCACAACCTGTTTCTGGCTAGCACTAACTTTCGGCACAGTCATCGCCGATGTACTACCTGGCGTCCTCCCTCTGCATCCCAAGCCTGGACTCAGATTGATCACATCGCGATCAGCTACCGCTGGCGTGGTTGTGTAAAAGACTGCTGCTCCTTTTGGAGTACCTATCTGGACTCTGACCATGCCTTGGTCTGCGCCAATCTTACCTTACTTTTCAGTGGCCAACGAAGTGACCGCCAGCAAAGGATTGATATTAGCAAGCTGGTTGCAACTTCTGTTGCAAATAAGTATCGAACCGAGCTAGCCTCTAGGCTAGCTACCACTCCACTGAAAAGTATAGATGAGCATTGGTTGCAATTGCATGACGCCATGAAAATGGCGGGAACATTCAGTTGTGGGTTTGCGAAAGTCCCGCTTTTAAGCACTGGGTTTCTGCAGGTTCCTTACAACTCATTGAAGCCTGTCGGTCTACTCCGGGTGACCGTGAGTTTGACCATAAACGAAGGATGTTACGTCATGAAATTGGGCAAAGCTTGCGTAAGGACCGAGAAGCCTGGTGGTCAAAGCGTGCTAATGAGCTGGAAGCAGCAGCTGCATCTGGTAATTACCGGAAGCTCTTCCAACTCATCCGAGCCACTGGCAGCAAGAAGTCTGGTGTGAGTGAAACAATCTGCGAGGATGATGGGATGCCAATCACTAACATCCATCGACGTCTTGGACGGTGGGCAGAATTTTTCGAAGGGCAGTTCAACTGGCCTGCTGCTCTGGCAACATCGGTCAGACTGTCCTGCCCTCCATGGCCGGTGACGACTAATCCACCAAACGAGGAGGAAGTCCGCAAGGAACTCCAACTCTTGAAGCGTTACAAATCACCTGGCCCAGATGACCTACCTCTGGCTCTTTTTAAAGATGGTGGTGACTTTTTGACTAAGGAATTGACGACGTTGTTTACAAAGGTTTGAGAACTAGAGAGTGTGCCAACGTCATGGAATGAGTCGATAGTTGTCCCTATCTTTAAAAAGGGTTCACGTCGTTCTTGTAACAACTATCGGGGGATAAGTTTACTTCCGATTGCGTCCAAGCTATTGGCTTCCGTCATACTTCGTAGGTTGTTCCAAACTCGAGAAAGATTGACTCGCGAGGAGCGGGCTGGTGTTCGTTCTGGTCGAGGATGTATTGATCATATCTTCACCCTCCGCCAAATGTTAGAACACCGCCATACTTATCAAAGGCCAACAATCGTAGTGTTTCTTGACATCAGGACTGCCTTCGATTCGTTGGATAGGACTGTTCTCTGGGATTGTCTATTGAAGAAGGGTGTGCCTGAGAAGTTTATTAACATCCTAAAAGCCCTATATACAAACACCTCAGGCAGAGTGAGGGCATACAACCACCTTTCTCCATTGTTCCATTCGAGCAGTGGACTTAGGCAGGGTTGCCCAATCTCACCATTCCTTTTCAACTTTGCCATCGATGACATTCTGGAAACAGCTCTGATGAATGTAAGTAATGGTGGTGTGGATCTGTTGCCTGGAGAAAGACTTCTCGACCTTGAGTATGCGGACGATATTGTCTTACTGTGCGATAATGCCCAAGGCATGCAATCCGCACTTAATCAGTTGGCAATCAGTGTCCGTAGGTATGGTATGTGCTTTGCACCTTCGAAGTGCAAAGTACTCCTACAAGACTGGCAGGATTCCAATCCTGTACTCACCCTGGATGGTGAGCAGATAGACGTAGTCGAGAAGTTCGTGTATCTGGGTAGCTGCATAAGTGCTGGTGGGGGTGTGAGTGATGAGATCAATGCACGAATAGTGAAAGCCAGAGCGGCTTATGCCAATCTGGGCCACCTTTGGCGCCTTCGTGATCTTAGTCTGGCTGTAAAAGGTCGGATCTACAACGCGTCGGTAAGAGCAGTTTTGCTCTATGCTTGTGAAACCTGGTCTCTCCGAGTTGAGGACGTTAGACGACTCTCTGTGTTCGATCATCGCTGTCTCCGAAGGATTGCTGACATTCAGTGGCAACACCATGTCAGTAATGCAGAGGTTCGGCATCGTGTGTTCGGGCACAGAGATGATAATTCAATTGGTGTCACCATCTTGAAACACCGACTTCGGTGGCTTGGACATGTTCTATAAATGTCGTCCCAGAGGATTCCACGTCGTGCATTATTTGCCGACTCTGGGACTGGTTGGAAGAAGCGGAGAGGTGGTCAGTGCATGACATGGTGTCGTGGCATGAAAGAAAGCTGCAAAGGACTGGCTTGTGTTGGTCCTTCACGACTCCCTGGTTGGGGTCTGAGAGATGGTGCTACACAGTGGCTAGAGACGTTATCAGATATGGCTCAGAATAGAAGCCAATGGCGATCCTGCTGTAACCTTCTTTTACTTTCTTCATAAAAAGTGGTTGTGTCTCCCTTACCTGAAAGATTTCTTCTGATTGTACCTTTGCGTTCCCTGATTACTAGCACATTACCTTACACCGATCTCTTCGTTATTGTTCTCTTTTTTTTGTTGCGCTCCTTAGCTTTTTTTTCTTTGTATTCCTCTCGAAATTTCATTGTTTTGTGTGGCGCATATATATTGGCGCTCTCTTGTACCAATATTCATGTGTCCAAATAAATAAATATCACAATAATTTTTTGTCTCTTCACCGTCATACATTTATACTCGGATAGGACAATTTACCATTCTATAATTACTTTATTGTAAAAATTCATGTAAACTAATTACAATATCGATATGTTATTTCAAACTAATCACCATTAACATTAATATATAAGCACTTTTTCTCATTTTATAAAAGCTGTTTTTTATTTCTGGGTTTTAGACTCCAAAACCCGAGAGTTTATTTATGGTTTGCTATACAAGTGGAAGTACAGGTTAGTTTAATGACGCTTTTGCGCAAAACATTCTCAATCATTACTTTATTTGATTATTTATTCCGAAACTAACAATTTAATTATGGGTTACTTGTTTATTAGTTGCAAATTCACCAGTGTTACACAATTTGGCTAGTTGAAATTCACTGGATCGGAAAGTTCCAGCTATCTCAAAGTACTGAAGAGATTTCTATACGGTTAAGAAATCTCGAAAATAATTTTTATTGCTCAAAGGCTATTCTTGTGTTTTATCACTGAAAATTTGATTAATCTCGCAATACAAAAGTTAAAAAATTTAATTCAATTCGGTTATGTACTCGCTTTTGATGCACTATTTTTGTAAAGGTAAATGCCACTAACCAGCTCTCACCATTTACTAATTTTATGCAGTCTAGAAATACCCTGAGATGTTGTTGTGGTTGATGTTCTCAAGTACTTATTATTAGTGATATTAGTCATGCATCTACACTAAGAACACTTTTACCTTCTAATATTTGATCTTCAGTTTTTTGTCAATTCCAAATGATTAGTTTCTTTTCTAAACTCACATTTATGCTCAGGACGCTGTATTCTTGTATTTAAGTTATCAACTCAGGCGGCTCGATGCATAAATGAAATTTCAAGGTATTCGTTGTACCAATTGCTTACTTGTAAAGTGACTATTAGAAATCATAAATAGCTGGTCTTTCGCACAGTAAGATACGTATTCACACGAGAAGCATCGGTTCCCTCAAGCTTTTGGGTATACGTTGCTGACGAATACGAGTTAGCAGAAAACTTGGGTCAGTGTTTTCCTTCTTACAAACCTTCCTACGATTTTTGGTGCCTTATCCAATTAAATAATAATTAAAAGACCTCAAATTTCTTTGATACACAAAATCTGTCACGTCAAATGTACACAACAGTAAAATTAGTTTATTTCAAGTTGAAGGAATGATATAAGTGCAGTGCATGGTGAAAAAGAGAATCGATCGACTTTTTTTCACATAAAAGTCGTATCTTTATTTGTAATTATCAAGTGCATCTATAGCATAAACCTAAATAAATGTAAACTGTCATTATCTCACAAAAGTTTAATTTCCCTAGTAAGGTAATTATTATTATTATTATTATTATTATTATTATTATTATTATTATTATTATTATTATTATTATTATTATTATTATTATTATAGGCATTCCCAAAGGGGTGAAAATCACACATCAATGTGTTGTAAAGACCATTCAAAGTTTATTTCAACGACTTGAAGGAGATGTGAGTGTAAAACATTAAGATTGTATTTATTCATTTTGTTTTACATCAAATAAATAGAAAAAAAGCTTTTGTTTAGGTGATTTTCTTCTCTTGTATGAATGTAATAGCTCGTGAGACTAATCGCGAGACATGAGTCTGAGTATCGATTAATTCGCCTAGACTATCTATGTGGTACCAATGGCCTGTAATCGCCAATCTGTTCAAGTAGTTTTATATTTTGCAACGTAATTTTGAAAAAATATTTTGAATTTAATCAGAATTGTCTCATATGTTTGCTTGAAGCGTTATCAAAGGTTATGTTCATCAAACGAATAGCTATCAGGACTCAGCTAAGTAGATAATGCGATGGCATTTAAAGCGAACGGTACTGGGTCCGAGTCTCGGAAGGAACATCAACTCTGGAATGCAGGTACATCCGGCTGACGAGTCCCAAATAGGACGAAACGCGCGTCATGGATTCCACTGCTAGCCCCTATCCGTCTTCGCTCACCAGTATATTGGTTTTTTATGTTTCCAGAGTTCCAATTACTATTATTATCTTTTTGAATATTTTATACATGATTGTTTCCCGTACAACAAGACAATGCTCGGTAAAATAAACACACCTGCCTTCATTTTAAATAATTGTTTCTTCATTTCACTGTGAAGGGGACTTCATTTCTGCTGTTTTTTGAGTTAAATGTGTAATTTTTACTGTGACTACTACGCTTTTTAAAAATATGTTATTTGTGTTAGCACGCTTTTTGAGAATACAGCACGGTATTCGATGATTAATTAACTATTGCCTTCAACCGCAAGTTAGATTGAAATGACAGGTGCTAGTATTTACCAGAAAATTTGCTATAAATATAATTTACCATTCATTCTGGTTTTGAAACATCAATGACATCACTGAAGTCTCAGTGCTCAGATATGAAGTGCATCCCGTAGTTTTTATTTCGTTTGTAATTTAATGTTGAACTGTGATGTGTGCTACTTATGTCAACATAAGTAGTACATAACGCTAGTCAGGAGTAGAATATCTGGCAGCATAAGGTCAAAAAGATCGAGGAGGAAAGAACGAGAACAGAAAGCAATTGGTATGGAAATGCAGGAACGATCAAGTCTGAGACAAATAATGAACGTTTTGTAAATGAATTATTTACTGTATAGTTCTCAGATTTTTCTAAGACGTTCTGTAATTTTGTGTCCCATTTGTGTTCTCGTTGACTACAAACTACGTTAAAAAGCAGTCGTATAACTTTTTTCCTCATTTACTAAGAAGTATCTATCATTGGAAGTAGTAGTCATTTTAACTTTTTTGGTACTTCGACTTCTGGTGGTTTGGCTTTTATTCACTGAGCTTTCATCTAATATATTTCAAGTTTGTAACCTGCTCCACAAACAACATCTGAGTATAATCAAAATCATCAAATAAACTGACATCTCTGTTTATTTATTTATTTCTCTTTAAATGTTATGGAATAATCAACTTATTTTGCAAAACCGACTCTATGTTAAACAGTCATCTCTAGTAGTCACTTAATGACTTCTTTTTATACTTGATCTTGCACTATCATGTTTTAATAAAATTACAATTCATGGTATTTTGTTTATTAACAGATCTTTAATAATACTGCTTCACATCTATCTTATTTACCTTTGGCTCATATAATGGAACAAATGATTTCTGTAAGTTAGTAGAAGTTAAACCTGCAATCTTTTTCTGTATGGATGTGTGATATGTACGGTAGTGAAATATTTTTACCTTACCATACAAGTTCATGTGCAATGGAAAATTTGTTTAGATTTTTGGTCACTTGCATAGAGAAGCAACGTTGAGCCAAGAACTGATTAACACATTATTTTCATGTCATATAAAATATTACCTGGTCGTTTCATAAGTTTCGCATTTATATTGAAGCCGTTTGGAAGAACAACGTAGATGTTTGTTTGTGGTGACCGTAATATAGACAAACATAAACAATTTAGGACCTGGTGCAAATGCGTCGTTTGTTCGTGTTACGACACATCATATCTATTCACTGAGGTAGAAAAGGCCTGAAAGAATGTAAATAAGGATACCGACAATCGAGAAGGAATAAATAAATCGAAGAAGGCATTAGCAGACTTTATATCACTGCATGAACTATCTTTCGAATATTAGTTTATATTCCAATTTTGCCGTCAAAAGTTATAGTTTTCAGCTCGTTGCAAATAACGTTTTAGTATCCAAGGTAATAATCAACCCTTCTTCGAATGAAAACTTATGTTCAGACAAAAGTGATACGGTATATATTTGATATTTTGTGAAGTTTACTGCACGACCTATTTCGTGATTTCTTCTCATAGGTTCTACAATCTGTCTAGCTCTACGAAATATTCCAAGTGACTTGTATGATCACTTTCTTGAATTCACTTTAAACGGTCATCTTTGTGGAAGTTTAGTAATTTTACAACCTTTTGTGTATTAATTCATGGAAGGCAGTTTTGTCTACGTAGTCTATGTAGATAGATTGCACGAATTTTTGGTTAGATAGATCATATATCGTTTATAATTGCACCAGTTAATTGAAAACCAAACAGCATTAGCAGACGTAACCTTAGAAAGACTTCTTCCAGCTCGCCTGGTAAGTGTTTGATGTGGTTGAACGGAATACGGGAGCCTAAGAATACTATTCCTACCCAGTCATTTCGAAACTGAACTCAGTTGAGAACGATTGTATTCAAAATAGTTTATTACTCAAGAACTGAAATTGTAATGGGATACAATATGAATGTTCGCAATGCACAGTCACCTAATAGTAAAGTATGTGAATTTAGTTTAACAGTAAAGGTTCGTGATAACTCTGAGCGTATTACTGCTCACTCTGCAACAAATCAGTCACACCCAACCACCAAGAAATTATGGTCAACCAACGTAGTTGCAGCACAACTAAACATGGGTCAGGTGCTGATCTCTTAACCCTTACTTTCCTTATCATTCATGATCACTTAAATTTTTGAGCTGTACTGGTAGGTGCAAACCACTTGGTTCAAGCTCGCGTTATGATCGTGATCCGTAGTTGGAAAACATATCCGGTATATCTCGAAATCGGCCACAGTAACGCAAATGGATTCACTGTCTGTTTTCTAGATTTTAAGTTTCATTGTTATTTCATGCTTAATTCATGCCTTAGATCATATTCTTTACCTCCAGTTTTCTTTACTACCACTTTTCCAACTCATTTGTGAATTATGTTTTTAATTTCAACCCATTATCTTAAATAAGTGTAGCGGCTTGAGTCAATATACGTCTGTGCTAATTCTTACGTTGTTTATGACCGACTGAGAAATGGTCAGAATTACTATTATATCTCTATCATCTTATTGCTCTTAAGGTTCAAATGAAATTGTGAGTTATCCTAGGTGAAAAAACGTGATTTATCGTGTTAAAAATCCTACTTTTCTGGCGCTCGTTAACGTTAATGCCGTGATAAAGTAGAAAAACATGATGCAACTGGTCATGGCCAATTCGAAAGTTGAATATTGACTAGATGTGCAAGTCGATTACTTTAATTTATAGTGTTTGTTTTAAAAAAATTGGACTTAAAATTCCTAATTAGCTCTTATTTTATTGGTGTCAAGGATATTGATGACAGCTACCTAGAATATTTCTGATTGATAACACCAGTATATACCAATAATAATAATTAAAGCTAAGAGGAATTTTGAATCACACCACATAATTACTGGTTCACTAGTCTATCAACTATGAGTGTCGTTTGATGATAGAAATTCAGTTTGACATATTTTTATTACTTCGGGATCTTTAGACGATCTCTGTGTCACTAGTGATTGTCACTTTCTTGTTTGTTTTCTCTGCAAAGCTGTCTACTCTCTTGGTTGGCGCGAGAATCGGTTTTCTAACCAAGAATATTCAAGGATTACTAGCCGATTTACAAGCTGTCAAACCACATTTCTTTTTTACTGTTCCTCGTGTTTTATCTCGATTGTATTCCGTTGCAATGGAAAAGGTTTCATCTGTTCCTTTACTACCTAGCATATTCCATTATGCAGTTGAATCTAAAGTTGCAGAACAAGAAAAGTAAGTGAATAATTTACACTATCATCACAGTTAAACCGTAATCAATTTTTGGTATGCAAGTGATAGATCTAATGTCCTTTTCATCTTATTATTAGCGTTCTCCAATCTGCTTTTATTCTGTCTAAAACTGAAGACTTCTCAGTTGTCTATCTAGTTATCTTGACAAGCTAGCTACTTGACTGTGTTCCATCTTCTATCATTTCTCTCCTATTATCAATCATAGTAGACTTCTTTATGCTTCACTTGACAGATTGTCTACTAACAGATAGTGCAGTGAATTACTGTGAAATAATTGCCGTTTATTTCGTAAAAAGGTCATTTGCTACCTACCTCTAAATTGGTTTCATCAGCACATATTTCCATGTATAGTAGCATTAAAGCACAGAACAAGTGAAAACTGTTGTGAATATAAATAAAAATTTACGATTAATCTATAATGTCTTGTTTTCTACAGTGATGAGTTGATCCGTTTTTTAATAGGATTTTATTCCAAATCTACATCGTCGTATAATTGTACATATCAACATTTATTATCTTGCTTGGTAGTGATCGATATTTCTATGAGTATTGACTGTGAAATTTCAGATTTAAACAAAATGTGCTTTTTGAAAATCCGAGTAACTTTTCTGGTCAACATCAAAGACATCTGACGAGTATACAACGTATTGGTAACGGCAGTGCTGTTTTATCCTTGTGTAAACTAATCCTTCCTAGCTGAGGATATTCAACAGCTCACTGTTTCAATCATTTTTATTTTCAAAGGATTCCTCGTAGCCAGTGGAATCATTGAGTAAGCTATTCTGAGGTCTCGAGGTTAATGTTTTGACGTAGTAGCGGCAGTTTACTTAGTAGAACTATCTCAAAACACTGGCGTTTTCAGCTCGAATATGTGTCACAAATTCTATTTCACTAACTTCCACATCGTGCATTATTTATCGACTGTGGGACACAGAGGAAAGAGTGAAAATGAGCATATATAACATTATCTAGTAGTATGAAAGATGGCATATGTCGATTCAGCAAGACTTCATATTTTCAGATTGCTTGTATTAAAAGATCACACTATTTGCATTATGATCGTGCTAAATCTTTCATCGACTTCAATTAACTAGATATATATTTAACTCATAGAATACGTTATATATTCCCTTCATTAATCTAACTATTTAACTTGTGATTAGTTGTTAATTTGGTCGCTTTTGCCCAATAATATGATTTCCTTCCAACACCATCTGTCGTCTTACGAATAAAACGCTTTTTTAACTATTGCTTTCAACCTCAAGTTAAATACTTCTTAGTACTTGTTAACTGAAGTCTGAAAAATACTGGAACACCTCCCAGTGATAAAAATTATTTTGTTTATGGTCACTTCATAGTGTACATTAGAAAATAACATGAATTTAGTATTTTTGTTTCATAATCGGATTAGCTGCTTTCAACTGCTTGCGTACTTATTGTTGTTTCTTCCCTTCTGCAGTCAACAAACACTAAGATATATACTGTTAAAATCTGTAAAAGTTAACCATTTCTTTAACACGTACATTTTTTTACCATTTATCAACCAAGTTTTTGTTTCTAACTAAACGGTTGGATTCATTAGGATATAACAACTACTCTGTCGGCAACAATTCCTTTGCACGTAAAGTCTTACATAATCAATTCGTGTTGGCCTTCGTCTTCAAACTACGATAGACCGAAATAAAAGCCGTTGTTGCTTAGCCGAATTCATGTTATTAAGTTAGTATTTATAATGACTGGATACAATTCAGCAACTGCTCGCTCATCAGATAGTGAAATAAAATTTGCTCGCCACCGTTTGTGTTTACAGGGAGTAGAACAGTGAACTGTTAATTTAGAGTTCAAATTCTCAAGCTGACCGTCAACCAGACTTCTTCAGAGCTTCAGTCAATCTCACTTAACTGCACTACAAAATCTTCCAGTAAGATCAATTCAATATTCTGTTTTGTTGCAGTTTATGTAATTCGGAAATGATTTTTTTCATTGATCATATCCTGTAAAGAAGATATTCTTAAATTATAAAGCACTATTTAACACCTAACCTAAAATTTGTAACTCCTCTGATGGCATCAGCTGCCGACTAGGAAGTTCCAACTAACTGTGCCCTGAGCTATCCTTTCTAATTACTGTTAAGTGCTTTTCACGGTCTTGATATCTGCCTCCGATCTCCGTTGCCATCTATTTTATGATCTGCATCTAGTTCTTGTTTACTGAAAATTTCGTGTTGGAGCCTGTCTTGTGATTCAGCTTATTATTTTCCGTAAAGTTAATGCTATTCACCTCCAGCGTCTTTTACTGGCAGCTGGTTTGTTCTCTGTCAGAGTAGATCGTTGCTGATGATCTCTGTCCTATTTTACTTGAATACTTTGCATAGACAACTGTTTATGAATACCTGCAATTTATTAATGATGACTATGGTTGTGGTAGTTCTTCACATTTCAGCTCCGTATTGTAAAACTGTTTTAAATTTAGTGTTGAAAATTTTGACCTTTTTGTTAGGTGATAGTTGTTTGACTTTCAGATATTCTTCATTCGTAGAGACGCTGCAATTACTTTAGAAATTCGTGTCTTGATACATACATCAGATGTCGATTAATGTGTTAGCAAATTCCACAAGGTTTTTCTTTCCATGCCGTCGATTACTTCCTGATAATCAAGAAAGCTAATGTGTAACGTTAAATTGCAGCTAAATGATTGTTCGCTGATGATTGACAGTGTAGTAATTTGGTCGGTACATGATTGTCTAATATGTGTCTGTGATATTCTTATTGAGATGACAAGCGCCAGTTGTTACAAGTAAATTTGCTCTGAATACACTTAACCATCCATGCTGGTTATGAAACATCACCGACAACAATGAAGTCTCACTACTCAGATATGAATCGCGTTGAGAAGCAATCGTATAGCATTTATTTTTCGTATTCTCAAAATCATTTAAATTTATTTATTTGCAATTCATGGAAATTTAAATATATTTAGAAAAAGTCGATGAAATGAAATTTCTTTTAAAATGGGAGATTTTATTAATTTATTTACCGGGGTATCTTAATTTATTTTCGCAACGTATCAAGTTAGTACTTATGTACTCTTATTTGGTTCCAGATAGTTGTGTATACACCATTTAATATTGATACCCCATCACCTCATTCTCAGTAGTTATCACGAGATTCAAACCTGTGACATTTTATTTGAAAAGTAGGTGCTTAGGCATGAAGCCCCCTCTTTTAACATTACGATAATTGTGGTTCGCTGAATTGCATATTGGTAGAAGATAAGAGTTGGAATAGATGTTATTTTTATTTTTGTGGAGAAGTGACGTCATTCAATTGAGTTGTGAAAAACTATTCAATGATTATTTGAATAACTCTTATGATTCATAAAACCACCGAGTGTGTAAAAATAAAAGTTATGTGAATAAGTTACATGTCTTTACTCGCCTAAATAGTAACCGTAATCCATCATCGTGACGTTACTTTACTAATGAAACAGAAATTGGAATCCTGCAATATATTGCCTTGTCTTCAGGAATTTTCTTGGTACCTTAGGTGGTCTATCGTCATTTTTTTTACTACATGGTAATTTATTTTTCCGGAATTCAATCCTTTACAGTGAGATGAATTTGAAATAATAATGTAAAATGGTGATGTAAAATATAATAACAATAGGTTTTCAATTGAATATGAACTATTTCATAATGGTTAAGTAAATTTTCTTCTAACGGATTTTTCCATCATGAGGCAATTGAATTTTTCACAGTCAAGACCGTCAGTTGATAGTTCTCTGAGTTACTAGGATCGTGTCCATCATTGCATTTTAGAACGTAAGGTTAATATGGTCAGTTCTGATAAAACTAAGCAAGTGAGTATCATATTCATTTAACTAATAGTAATAATAAAAAGAACTTTTTACTAGAAATTTTAAATAATCAGAAAATATTGCATTTGACCATCATCATCATACAAAATCGAATGTCGTCGAAATGACTCTGTTATTATTGTGTTGATGAAAAACGTGCTTAGAAACATTTAATTACACAAAATGAAAAGTTCACATATTGAGATCTATCATCTAGTTCAATTTTTGTTTGTTCCTTGTAATATCTATCATGTTATTGTAGCGTTCAATATTGAAGTGAATAAGAACAACCTTGACCTTGAAAGATGAGAGTTTTGTGACCTTCAGAAGGACAACTTATGTTTAGTTTCACAAGTACGCCTATATCTTCGTTCTTTTTTAAATATACTTTCATTACGATCTAAATAATCCAACAATTCTTCGTTTAGTTGCTTAAAATTAAGTAAGAAGATCGATAGAGATCATTTCTGATAAATTCTTTACTTTATGTCTTTAAATTCTACTTACCAAGTAATCTAACTTGATGAAATTCAAGTAAGTGAACAAATAAAACCTCAACAAAATTTCGCGATTTCTATTTGACTAGGCGCCAATACAAAATGATCAATTCGGTATGGAATATAAAGAAAGAATAAAGTTGACATCTAGATTTAGATGGTGGTTGGAGGTAGTCAACAGGAAACCCTGGACCCGGGTTTCGTGCTACTTGGCACTCGTCAGCAAGGTGTACCTGTAATCTTGAGGGAACTGGTGCTCCCTGGAGGATTCGATCTCGTGTCACCCAGCTTCACAGTCAGAGACGTTGCCACTGAGCTATCCGCCAGGGAGCACCAGTTCCCTCAAGATTACAGGTACACCTTGCTGACGAGTGCCAAGTAGCACGAAACCCGTGTCCAGGGTTTCCTGTTGACTACCTCCAACCACCATCTAAATCTCAATACATAGTGCCCGCAGTGCCGAGTCACCTAGACTGGTGGCCACATTGCAACATGATCGATAGCATTCGATCTGCACTAATAAGGACTAGACAAGCATGACATTGATCACCACCCAGTGATCAATCAATTGTGAAAGTTGACATCTTTAAACTCAGCCTAATACACACAGCAAATAATTAAATTTTTGATTATCTGAATCCACGTTCAGTGTTAACTCATTTGACTTCATATCTAAACTTGACGTAAAATATAGCAACTTGATTGAGTTGAATTTATTTTTATGCACATGAATAGATAAGAGTCTTTCTGCATTTAAATACAGAAACGTTTCCATATAATGGATACTGTCAGTGGTAAAGTTACATGAACAAATTTTCAGTTTATATAAATTGGAATGAAGGTGGTGGTTGACTGAGTTTTTTAAAAGTAATTAAGACTGGTAGAAATACGGCCGATATTCGTAAGTTGTCAATAAATTGTTTTCATTTCAGTGTATTCGCGTAAACTATCAACTAAACCTGGAAAATAAATAGCGACAGTTAACATACTTCAATATTTAGAAATCTCTAATTTATTAAAAAATAATCTGTTTATAGAGGAAAATTAGTCAGAGCTGATTAAATGAAAGCAACAGATCACCAATAATCTTTTAAGCTACAAAACTCGTTCAGTTCATTTCTGAGTTGTCAGTTGATATACCGTTATAAATAGATGACATTATTTAGAGCTATATTACCTTGTATCAATTTGTGTGAACTGTATTGAGTATGTGCTTCACAGTAACCCTGTGCATTTCCGACTATATGCGGGATTACAGAATATATGTAAAAATTAATATATAAATAGTTGTATTTTGGTCTAATGACGATGCGATTTCAGAACTTGTTTAAGATGTTTTTGGGCAGATAGTAAATCTTCATTGCATCAGTCTTTTGTGTTGTTTCTTTGCGTCGTAGTAATTGCAGTAATTTCCGTCTCACAGCATAAACAGTAGGATTTAGTAGTAAGACAGAGTATCCATCCAGACATAACAGTAACGACTGCCTATATATAACATTTGGCGATCCGGATGTAACAAGGTCGACCACCCAGATATAACATCAATCTTAATTGAAACCTTTACAAAAAGAACTGGCAAAAGACAAAACAATATTTATAGAACGAATATAATCTGGTAGTTTAACTATTCACAAATTTCACTGTTAGATTATTTTTGTCGATAAGTGATATCACCTCGTTCAGAAGTAAATGCGCTACTGAGTATAATCAACACAAGATTGATAGACCGGCGTTGTAGTGATTTTTAACACGCCCTAGAACACTTCTGTTAGCTATTGTCGATTCCAAACCTGGGTAAAGAAAAAGGGTTTGCCTTAGAGTTAACAACCACACCTAGCATAGTGTAAACTCCGACACAACTAACCAGAAAAGCCAGTAAAACTCTATCCTAAGAGGTAAAAGGTCTTCATGCGAAAGAGTTATGATACATGGTAAAAGCCGATTGTCTTCGAAAGCCACGATTCTGATGCTGCTCTTGGCAACGTTAGCAGCAATTAATGTAGGTAAGTAGAGAGTCGGCACAATATATGATACCAGGAAGATCGTTCAAAAAGCCAGAGAATCGAGAATATGCCTTTTGGTTCTCCTTCGAATAAATAGGTTCCATTGAACGCAAATTAAAAAGAAAAGAATTGCTTGTATTCTGATAATGAAAAAGAAAATACTCCACAAATACAAAAAGTTCCTCTAATGCTCTCCAAATAAGCATAAATAACATTTATGAGATGGGAAATTCATGGCTACAGGATCATCACGGAACACCTTTTTTATTTTAAACTCTGTCATAATAGAAAAGGTTTCCGTTGCTTTGGGATATTCAGATTACTTATGTCAATGCTTTGGAAACAACTCATTATAGTTGTATTACGTTTGTGATTGCTCGTTTTTTGTTTTACTTGCAATCTCTTTTATTCCATTTTTCACTGTGAAATATATACTACTGAGAAAACGTTTATAGATACGCTTTGAAAACTGTGTATAGGATATAATACCTAGATTAAGATCAGTGCATTTTACTCATTATTTATTTTTATGACTGAAGATGATTGCTCATCAATGTACACGTCTTTTTTATTGAAGCGAGTTCTGCTATATTTGAAATGATTACGAGTTCACCTAATCTGCGAACGGAACGAAGACTCAGGGATACAATGGGAATCTATTCCACAATCATCCAAAAGCACGAACAACAACAAACACAAGTGTATATATAGAGCGTAAAAATGTCCTTGGGGAACGTTGCAAAATGGCATATTTAAAGAGAACGAACCAATAGCATTTAAGATCCTTCCAAGTGGGAAATACGACGTGAAAGTGAAAATGGGTGCTTTTGGGGAGAAAACAAGAAATTTAAATTTTAAAGTAGAATTACAAAAATGAGGCATTTACCAAGCGAGTTCTGGGGATCTAACGCCTCCAACAGTTCCAAATTACAATAAATTCTGGATTCCTGAGTATTTAATTTTACCACGAGTTATACGTATTCGCTGGCTTTTTTTTCTGTGACTTACACCTTAATTCACTTAACAAATTTATCGTTGATCAAACTTTGCATCATATGACACGAGCTGTATTTTACTGAGTTATTCACCTAATAGTCGTTAAAGCCTTGTACAATTTTTCCAAACGGTTAAATAGTAAGATAAAATTATTGATTGAAACTCAGATTTGGATTCTCAAGATGCGTTATTTGAAAGAAACTTATGAGAATACTAGATTACTTATGTTGGTCAGTTTTAACGTCACACTATTTGTATTCTTTTTTTTCTCTAATCGTATCTCAAAATGCTCAATCCTTTCTGTCATGACTTTTGTTACTACCTATACAGAATTTAGTTTGACAATTTTATCTTGATGTACTAATGCGGTATGGCAACTTAAACTGATGTACATATGTATCAGGTTGTTCATTGAGTTTAACTGACACTTTTACGTTTAATTTGTTATTACTTCAGAAATATATACGATAATTCAAGTATTTGGGACTTTATATTCTTCAATAAAATTAGACGAACTTTGGGTGGTCGTGTCAAAGTAATAGTCTCTGGTAGTGCACCCGTTGCAAGTGAAATTTTACGTTTTACACGGGGAGTTTTTGGCTGTCCAGTAAGTAAATGTTTGTTTTGATTATATATATATATAACACTTGAACACCCATGAACCTGGGTTTAATCAATAATGCTTTTTCGAAATCGGCGTTGTTTTCATACAATTCATTCTGTGGCATGAAGTTATTCAACAACTAAAATTAAACAGATTTATCATTCAAATAAAAAAGAACAGACAATCAGATAAAAACTAATCGACTGTGTATCTGTACGTTTGATGTAAGTCACTATTACATTTCAGATCCACTGACATCCCCAAATTTCACTGACTCAGAATGATTTTGGTTTAAATTAGTTGTCGTAACTGTCACTTTTATTTAAGTTATGTAAGACATATGGAAGCCACGCGAATAACAATGTTTTCAGATAGTGTTGCTACGTATACTAACTGTAGAAAGAAATTTACACTGAAGAAAACTCTAAGATAAAAAGGATTGTGAGTGTATATACTGAAGACATGGATGGTGGATAGCAGTGGGATCCAGGACTTTCATTTCATCCTGTTTGATACTCGTCAGGTAGATGTATCTGCATCAAAAAGTTGGTGTTTACTCCGAGACTCAAACCCAATACCGTTCGCTTCAAACACCATCGCGTTATGAGACTGTTCAATTGCAGTCCCAAACATCAGTGGGAAAACTCAAACAACCAGTACAAAAACGAATTGTATACTGAATAGCTATTCAGTGTCTGATAACTAGAATGAAATTTCTTATTCATTACATCGCTATGCGATTTTCGAATTTGTAGTTGAAAATCAGATTTCTCAGTCGCGGATATACCTTTTCAGTGAGCCTCAATAAGCATGAAACTAAAATCTATAACATCTTGTCAGTCATCTTCAAAATCTAACATCATACGACCCTGTAATGTATCTGGTATTATTGAACGTACGCTAACTAGAATAGGTTCTGCAGTACTCACAGTGAATCCATTACCTTTCATTTCCAGCAATTATTATTATTATTATTATTATTAAAGGTTAAAATAGGATCGTGAGTTTTCTAGAAATTTCTGTAAGTGTTGAAGCTAATTATTTGTAAAACTGTTACTTTCCTTAAAGTAGAACCGTGGTTCAATTGTGTAACTGTGACTTGTAATTATTTGATAACAGGTTTAAATTCTTCTGCTACACTAAATTCGATTTCTGTAGTAGAATATATGTTATCAGCAACACATTGATAGTATCTTTACTGCATAGTGAATTTATCTACATTTTCTTGCTTGGTTTCAATAAATGGATATCTTCATACGCAAGTTTCATCCAATTAATAACTCCATCATGCTACCATAACATCACTTTGTGAACATATTTAGTGTCTAGTCAGTACTATCAGAATGAATTCAGGTTATAAACGGTGAATAAGAAGGCAATTTTATTGACTGATATATCTCATTCCTGTTTACATTTATTCCTAAGCACTGAAAAAATTCTTTTTGTTTGATCATTGTTATTCTTTAATGGATATGCCCATGGTAAACCCAAGATACAGATAGATGTACACATAGATAAATATAACGTTAATCAAGTCTATATACTATGTTGAAATGAATGAGTGCACTTGAAATGTGACGAATTGGCGAATAAATATATATTCAATAATAAAAAGGGTAACTCACAGTGAATCGAAACACAGTTGAAAACCATGCCTAATATTCGGTTTAACTACTACTATTTGGTTCATGAAAACTTATTCCTAAAAATAACATCAGCTAATATATTAAATTTAGATGCCTTTCAACAAAATACTATTTGAATTTCACTTAGAACAAAGTGCAGTGTCTGCTTCAGGATTATAAAATACATGTAATTCAAATTGCAGCTTCAACATACCAATTATCGATTAGACAACCGAATATTATCTATAGATCCTCTCCCACTAATCCAGAACATACATCATTTGAGGATCAGTGAGTACGCCTGTATTTCGATGGACGTTCTGCTTTTGCCCGTTACCTCTCATGGAGGAGCATAGGCCGCTCACCAGCACTCTCCATCCAACTCTGTCCTGGGCAATCCTTTCCGATTTCTATTTATCCTTTTCATATCTGCTTCCAGTTCTCGGAGCAGTGTGTTCTTTGGCCATCCTCTTTTCCGTTTCCTTTGAGGACTACAAGTTAGTGCTTGTTTAATGATGCAGTTTGGTGATTTCCTCAGTGGGTGTCCTATCAACCACCGACGTCTTTTCCTGGTTTCCTCCTCAGTTGGAAGTTGGTTTGTTCTCTCCCACAGTAGACTGTTGCTGATGGTATCCTGCCAACAGGCATTCAGCATCTTACATAGACAGTTGTCTATAAATACTTGTACATTTTGATGATGGTTGTGGTAGTTCTCCAAGTTTCAGCCCCTTACAGTAGAGCTGTCTTGACGTCCGGATTGAAGATTCTGACTTTGATGTTGGCTCACTGTTATTTTGAGTTCCATATGTTCTTCAGTTGTGGGAATCCTTCCCATGTTTTGCCAATCTTTATCTTTACGTCAGTGATTGGCTTGCCTTCTTTGTCGTTGACCGGTCTCTCTGGTTTACAATATCTCCCTGCTAGTTTCTTCGTTGTGTCATATGGTTGTTTCATATTACCTTCTCTTGCAACTTTTTACACTTTCGGTGCTAGTTCTTCCGCGTATTTCTGCTTGTCGACTCTAATGATCTTCTTCACTTGCTTGTCTACTTCTATGTATTCAGCTTGTGCCTTAACTTTCTCTGTTTCTTGTTCGGCTGCTCTTAATTGCTGTCTTCTTGTTCTTTCTTTCCTTCTTGAATCTTGTGTGGGGTTTCGATAGTGATTCGTTCCTTATGATGTTTCTTGCGGACGAGCACCTCCTGACATGTTGAAGTTAGTGCTTCTTTGATCCCTTTCTAATCGTCCTCCATAGTAGCTTGTTGTTTTTCTTTCAGTAGATCCTGTAAGGCTTGGGACCTGTTGTTGAGAGTTATCTTAAATTCATTGAGTTTGTCAGTATGTTGAAGGAAGGCTGTATTGAACTTTTGTAATGCTGTTCCCTCAGCTGTCCAATGCTTCCTTAACTTCAGTTTCATCTTGGCCACAACCAGATGGTGATAAAAAGCTATGTCAGCTCCTCTCCTGGTTCTCACATCTTCCATTGACCTTGCGAATTTTTTATTGATACAAATATGATCTATCTGGTTCTCTGTGGTGTGGTCCGGTGAGACCCATGTAGCTTTGTGTATGCGTTTGTGTGGGAATATTGTGCCACCTATAACTAATTTGTTGAATGCACATAGATTTGCAAATCCCTTGCCATTCTCATTCCTTTCTCATAGTCCATGTCGTCCCATGATATCTTCATAATCGTTGGTGTTTATCCCGACTGGCGTTTAGATCTGCCATCAGGATGGTCAGGTCTTTTCCTGGGCACTTCGCTATGATCCATTGCAGCCTCTCGTAGAACTGATCTTTATCGTCGTCATTGCTATCATTAGTGTGTGCATCACATTGAATAACATTCATTGTAATTCCCGCCTTCTTTGTTTTGAATGATGCTTTGATGATCCTGGGTCCATGAGATTCCCATCCTATAAGTGCGTTTTCGTGCTTCTTTGGACAGCATCAGAGCAACTCCCCTGAGTGTGTGGAGCATTTTCCTCTTCGTGACCGGAGTACAGCAACATCTCTCACGTATCTATGCCTTTGCTGTCCAGCTTGGGTCCAATGGGTTTCGCTGATTCCGAGAACCGCCAAATTGTATCTCCTCATTTCCGTTGCTATTTGACTGATGCTTCCGGTCTCCCACATAGTCCGGACGTTCCATGTACCTATAAAAATTGTTGCTCTGGTTGTTAGAAGGGGCGTCAGCCTCGCGAATTACGAAGAATCTCGACTTTCTTCATGAGGCGTCATCATTCTTCCTTCAACTCCCAGGGCAGAGTCTAAATGGTTAGTTTGTTTATTCTGGTTAGCGTTTTTTTAGCAAGGTTGTTTTCTAAGGGATAGGGTTGCCGACCTCATGCCTAACACTCCTTCTTTACCCGGTCTTGTGACCTGCCTGTATCCTTAGAAGATATACAGGTGGAGGTATTTCGATAAATATGTTACATTGATGTTTTTTACAAACTCACTATTTATTTAGGCATTAAAACATCCACATATTAAGCATTGCAGCTAATAGATTTCACCTCCACTGTATTCATCCACTGTGTGTGTGTAACCTATTCTTTTGATATAAATAATAATATGTTATTTCTTTTTTAAAAATGCATTTTTAATAGGTAATAGTCGGTTATGGTTTAAGTGAATCATGTGGAGTTATTACGCTTACACTGTTTGGTGATAAAACCCTGGATCATGTTGGTGCGCTTATCCCAGGAGTTTCAGCCAAACTGGTTGATGTACCGCATATGGGTATCAGCGTTGACAAGATGAAAATGGGTGAAGTAAGTATTCGTTATCTATTAATTGGTCAGTGGCTCAATCGGTAAACAAAGAATTTCACCCATAATATTTTCAATATTAGTTTATCTTCATTAGTGTAAAATATGAGAAGCACATAAAATGTTTAAAATTAGGTTTTAACCGATAAATATCTGTCAGCCTGGTACTCTTCATAGGTTTCCTGCAGTTAAATCGTTACGTAATTGTTAGATGATAGATTGTTTTATTTCTACAGGTTGTTGTATGAACATGATATTTGATCTAAGAATAATTACCTTCACAAACGATAGCAGTTAAAAAAAGCCAGAGAGCTCAGTACTCAGGTTTTCATTCATTAGTGAAGTGTTTCGTTATATCTGTATCTTCAATATGTGACTAAATTAATCAACCTAATTTTCTCAACTGGACATAAAAGTGTCCGTATAACTGTTATAAAGATTCTCTATATCCAATGCAAATAGCCAAATATTTAGGTTTAACTTGATTCAGCGAATGGTTATCCATTTAATAACCATTCAAAACTATGGACTTCCGTAGAAGAACTACATGGCTTTTTTGTCTTTTATTAATCATCAAACATATGAATAATTCAGATTAATATGCGCGGCGAATTAATAAATTGATGGATTAAATTCGCTTGCTGGATATCAGTTTACTGTTTCACTCTTTATGTATCAACTTTATCTATCCTCAATGGTTCAGTATAGTAATAATATACGAAATACACTGCACCTAGTCCCATCTGAGAATCAAGCTAGTATCACTAGCCCTCACACAAATGGTATGGCTCATAGTCGAGTACACAAACTTGTGTGTGATAAACGAGTGACTAGTATACGAGTAGTTGTGTCACTGTTCTTTTAAGAAAACTGGTGGGTACCCTTATAAGGGTACATTTGTTGCTAGTACTCATGATATCAGCAATTAATTTGGACTGCATCGGTTGATCGATATTACTAATATCAGTTAGTCAAAAATCGTCGCGTGCTGAAACACTTACTTATTAAGACTAAATATCGGATGTCAGTTCACTTATAGTTTCTTCTTGATTTCATTTCTCTTCCTATCAATTGTACAGGTATGTGTTAAAGGCCTAAATTGTACTCAAGGGTATTACAGGGATGAAGAAAGCACAAAACAACTCATTGACAAAGATGGATGGTTGCATACTGGTGACATTGGCAGTTGGACAAAAGTATGTTCTCTAACTAATAAGAGGATTTTTAGTCTAGTGGTTTATCTTTGTACCCAACCTATCATCTTTCATAGACCATTAGTTATACTTAGATTGACTTTAGTTTTCCAAAACAATCAAAACTCGTTATTGCCTGGGGAAAAATGAGTTCAGTTACATATTAACAGCGTACTAATCCTTTATTGTCCTTGATCCAAATGATTTTTGTTGAGTTATTCCGATATCGCTAAATCAAGTGCAGTTCGCGACGGTGAAATTGTTACAATTACTATCACCATACAATTTATTAATCAGTCAATGGGAATTGATACTAACTAGAGACCATAGTAAAGGCTTTTATCGGATCCATGACCCATAAAGCTTTTGATCCCAAGCGCACCACATACTCCCAGGTATATTTAGTTGATGAATATCCACAAGCAAATAGGCTTTACCTATGACTTTTTAACTGTTTGGGACAACCCAGTACTGAACCATGTGGCTTATAAGCTTTGAAATTGGCTTTTGATATCCTGTAGACGGGAAGTTGTTGATTATTGAACAAAAATATTGTCGCCTTCAAATTCCGCTCCCACCAGTAACATGATAATCATCAGTGGCATAAGTGTAACTTTAATTGACTATTGTTTGAATTTATCTCCAGTTGCTTTTATTTAACTATGCAACATAAAATCTAATTCACTCGATTTACATACACTAAGATTGGACCCACCTTACTCAAATATTAAACGGAATGATCAATATAGCCCTAGTTGTAAATTAACACTTCTTCTGATCACTGAATTTTAATAACCTACATAAACCTTCACTTGAAGCATACTGTACACATTTGATGTAGTGATTTACATTCTCATTAAATCCAAAATCAACATTTCAACATGGCTAAATAAGAGTTCTGTGCGAAATTCTTTTTGGTCTTATTTACCTTTTACTATGACCTTGAAGACGTTCAAACCCACATTACCGGATAATACGTTGAAATTTCAGTAGCTCAGATTCTTACAAACATAATTTCATATCTAATGTCTTTTAATTTACTTAGTTGAGCCTGTTACCACTGTATATGATAGACTACTAAACAGGAACCTCCAGTCAGTTTTTACCGTAGACTCTTATCCGGTTATTACTGATTGCTTGATTCCTACCTCCGATCTCCGAGGCCATATTTTTTTGGGTGTAAATCAGTGCAGTTCCGCCGTAGTTCTATCACTTTTTAATATCACCCGTATCTAATAAATGGATCTCTCCAGTTTCATATCAATTTTTCTTCATCCCAAATCTTTGTGAAAGGAAAGTGGGGCATCTTTACAGTTGCTTATGTTTCTAACTTCGGTGCTTTAGCTAGTAATTGTCTGGTGCTCTGCAGTTCTTGATTTGTGTAATGAATTTGATGGTTTCTTCCATTGTTAGTCGGGTTGCAGGTATTAGCTTATATACATTTCTTTAAACCTTTTACGATAGCTCTCTGTGTGTTTAGGTAAGGGCTAAATGCTTGTATGCAATACTTCAGTTTTTATCAAGTGAACACCACAAAGTCAGGAATGGAAGCTCTACGTAACGGCTATAATTTTTCAAGACATTTACCATATATTGCATGGCAGTGCTCAGTAGTCTTCAAATATTGGGTGATATTGACTCCTGCATCATTTATTGTCTGAACAACGGGTAGCTCGACGTTGTTCGCTGTGTATGTATTTGTACCCTGGTGACCAATATACATCACAATACATTTGGAAACGTTTAGCTGCAAGTACCGAATTCTAAATCATTCAAATCGTTTCTATACGATTTTCTGTGGCTATGAACTGTCCTCTTAGTGTTGTATCGCTCTCCGTATTTTGATATTCTCTGTGTGTAACAAGATCGATAATAATAGAAGACTGAGAAGGTCATTTGCATATAGAGACAATAACGCTGGTCCCCAAACTACTATGGGAGACCTCACTAGGAACTTATCATCCAGACAACTTGCGGTCAACCGATATCCTTTGTTGCTTTTGATTTTTGAGAACATACCAAATTTATTGTGCTTTTAGTTTTTCGAGATAATCATATTTCCATCTAGATAATTTAACTACTTTTTTGAAATCATTTTCCTGATTCTAGTCTACATTAATCAATTTGGAATATTCATTTCTTTATTCATCGTTGTTCATGTGTCTTTTGGTTATTGACTTCATATTAAACAATTGGTTACTTTGTATATTGCAGGTTTTTTTTACATTTCCATCTTTTTGTTTACCTATGTGATTTGTTGTTTTTTTTTAACTTCTAGGAAGGTTCTTTAAAAATTGTCGACAGGTGTAAAAACATATTTAAACTCTCACAAGGCGAGTATATTGCACCAGAAAGATTGGAAAATATCTACCAACTCAGTCCACTAGTTGAGCAAATCTTTGTTGATGGCAATTCACTCAACGATTTTCCAGTAGCTGTAGTTGTACCAAATATCAAAGAGTTGACTAAGCGCATAGTGGCTAAGGCGAATTTAAATGACCCATTGTTATTGAACGGTAATAAAGAAGAGACTGAGGTGTCTAAATACAATTTCAATGATTCTATTCCAATAGTAGATACGTCAACACTATGTTCACAGCCTGCAGCACGTAAAATTGTTGTTTCAGAATTAGAAAATTTAGGAAGGAAAAGAGGATTAAAAGGATTTGAGATAGTAAGATTTTTGAAACAGTTTTTTTCAGAGGTTTTGGTCTTTTGCTCCTTTGCTATTTCAGCAAAATTTTTATGTATTGTATTGTACTCGGACTGCTTTAGCTATTAACCTAAGATCTTTGATTCTCAAACTCTAAGTCAAAATAATGAGTGGATTATGGAAGCAGTTTTTTGAGGGTTAGATTATACGCAAAAAAGGTTTGTTTGGGTAAATGATGTTAAAGTTGATATTTTATGTGGTAATCTTTCAGTCAGATTTAAGTGAGCATAATGCATTCTTTTCTAACCTTTTGTTAGTTTTTAAAGAACATTCGTTTTTGAAGCTTTTGGGGACGTTCTCCGTCTTTTGAAGCGTTTTTCAAAGAATCACAGAGTGCACTCAGCGTCAACCTATTTCACTAGAAACAGTGCTAGAGATTGTAATCGGTATAGGGGTTACAGAACAAAGTTAGTTTTGTTTACCTTTAATTTCGAATAGTGCATCTAGTAACTCTCCTCAGGAAACAAAGTCAATTTATTTTATTTATTATAATGTTAGATCAGCGAACGCTGTAAACATGAAATAAGCGACAGTTTTTCTAGTCTCTAGTATAATATCCGGGCAGATTTCTGCTTTCTTGTGTTGAATAATTTCTGGTAATCCTGAAAATAAACCAACGTGATGATTACTTTGAATATGTAGATTTGTACGTGTATTGTTTGACATAGAGATACCAACAAATCTGAACTTATATAATCTCGTCGATTTATTCCCGACCACTGAAGTGAGAAGTTATAATGTGATCTCGCTTCTCAATGTCCCTTTCACCGAAGGAATAGATTAATTTATCTTCAGGAACAGGCTTAAGCAAAGCATTTAAACTGTACGGTACAGTAGTTTCCACTGTATTATTTCTCAAATGAAAGAAAGACAGTCAGAAATATTAATCCAATCACGCGGATGTATACTACATGAAATAGGCTAAGGTGCACAAGGAATATCCTGAATGGTTGTTGGGAACTATTGTACCTATAGACATTTTACGGGATTTATTAATTAAAGACACTCTAACGTTCAGTCCAACTCTGACTATAGGTCTTCTAGGGCTAATGCAGGTCACAAGACCGGGTAAAGAAGGAGTGTTAGGCATGAGGTCGGCAACCCTATCCCTTAGAAAACAACCTTGCTAAAAAAACGCTAACCAGAATAAACAAACTAACCATTTAGACTCTGCCCTGGGAGTTGAAGGAAGAATGATGACGCCTCATGAAGAAAGTCGAGATTCTTCGTAATTCGCGAGGCTGACGCCCCTTCTAACAACCAGAGCAACAATTTTTATAGGTACATGGAACGTCCGGACTATGTGGGAGACCGGAAGCATCAGTCAAATAGCAACGGAAATGAGGAGATACAATTTGGCGGTTCTCGGAATCAGCGAAACCCATTGGACCCAAGCTGGACAGCAAAGGCATAGATACGTGAGAGATGTTGCTGTACTCCGGTCACGAAGAGGAAAATGCTCCACACACTCAGGGGAGTTGCTCTGATGCTGTCCAAAGAAGCACGAAAACGCACTTATAGGATGGGAATCTCATGGACCCAGGATCATCAAAGCATCATTCAAAACAAAGAAGGCGGGAATTACAATGAATGTTATTCAATGTGATGCACACACTAATGATAGCAATGACGACGATAAAGATCAGTTCTACGAGAGGCTGCAATGGATCATAGCGAAGTGCCCAGGAAAAGACCTGACCATCCTGATGGCAGATCTAAACGCCAGTCGGGATAAACACCAACGATTATGAAGATATCATGGGACGACATGGACTATGAGAAAGGAATGAGAATGGCAAGGGATTTGCAAATCTATGTGCATTCAACAAATTAGTTATAGGTGGCACAATATTCCCACACAAACGCATACACAAAGCTACATGGGTCTCACCGGACCACACCACAGAGAACCAGATAGATCATATTTGTATCAATAAAAAATTCGCAAGGTCAATGGAAGATGTGAGAACCAGGAGAGGAGCTGACATAGCTTTTTATCACCATCTGGTTGTGGCCAAGATGAAACTGAAGTTAAGGAAGCATTGGACAGCTGAGGGAACAGCATTACAAAAGTTCAATACAGCCTTCCTTCAACATACTGACAAACTCAATGAATTTAAGATAACTCTCAACAACAGGTCCCAAGCCTTACAGGATCTACTGAAAGAAAAACAACAAGCTACTATGGAGGACGATTAGAAAGGGATCAAAGAAGCACTAACTTCAACATGTCAGGAGGTGCTCGTCCGCAAGAAACATCATAAGGAACGAATCACTATCGAAACCCCACACAAGATTCAAGAAGGAAAGAAAGAACAAGAAGACAGCAATTAAGAGCAGCCGAACAAGAAACAGAGAAAGTTAAGGCACAAGCTGAATACATAGAAGTAGACAAGCAAGTGAAGAAGATCATTAGAGTCGACAAGCAGAAATACGCGGAAGAACTAGCACCGAAAGTGTAAAAAGTTGCAAGAGAAGGTAATATGAAACAACCATATGACACAACGAAGAAACTAGCAGGGAGATATTGTAAACCAGAGAGACCGGTCAACGACAAAGAAGGCAAGCCAATCACTGACGTAAAGATAAAGATTGGCAAAACATGGGAAGGATTCCCACAACTGAAGAACATATGGAACTCAAAATAACAGTGAGCCAACATCAAAGTCAGAATCTTCAATCCGGACGTCAAGACAGCTCTACTGTAAGGGGCTGAAACTTGGAGAACTACCACAACCATCATCAAAATGTACAAGTATTTATAGACAACTGTCTATGTAAGATGCTGAATGCCTGTTGGCAGGATACCATCAGCAACAGTCTACTGTGGGAGAGAACAAACCAACTTCCAACTGAGGAGGAAACCAGGAAAAGACGTCGGTGGTTGATAGGACACCCACTGAGGAAATCACCAAACTGCATCATTAAACAAGCACTAACTTGTAGTCCTCAAAGGAAACGGAAAAGAGGATGGCCAAAGAACACACTGCTCCGAGAACTGGAAGCAGATATGAAAAGGATAAATAGAAATCGGAAAGGATTGCCCAGGACAGAGTTGGATGGAGAGTGCTGGTGAGCGGCCTATGCTCCTCCATGAGGCGTAACATGCTTTAGTAAGTTACATGCAGTCTATTTAGATGGATTGATTAAATGTTGTTTCTGTTCTTCTCATGTGTTTGTATGGATTTTACCGAATCATTATCCATTCACATGTTTCATGTCAATATGTGATATGATTAAGTTGGGAAATAAAATGATGCACGGTATGTGCAAAATAATTTCTTGTTTATATTACGCAGACAGTCATTCAATGTACGTCGTTACTTATATAAATAAATGAAATGCTTGATATTGATTCTTTTCAGATTAAACGTGTTCACCTTTCTTCGTTTCCATTCACTGTTGAAAATGGTTTGCTCACCTCCAATTTGAAATTAGTGAGATCTCGACTACGGGAAACTTTTTCAGATAAATTACATTTATTGTACGAAGAAGCGTGCTCATAATATTTATTTCTACTGAAATCTGAAATATTTAGTGAGATTCATAGATAATTAAATATTTCTTTAGAAAATTCACATCCTTCGCACTAACACTTTACATTCACTTCTATACAAATCATTATGAATTAACTACTTAAAGTTTTCCCATGTCTTTTGTTCCTTAATCCTGTAACGGATACGGTGAATATCATGCACCCATGTATTTTTGTTTGAATGAGATCCATGTTTTTCTGGTACTGAAATTTTGTGTAGAATATGTTTCAGTATAACTTATTTGTTTATTTTTATTCTTATATCAACGCTATTTGATATCCGATGTAATATGAATTTATCGTAATATCACGTAGGTTATGTCCATTGGAGATGTGTCTTAGGGCCAAAAGATAATTATTCCTTTTCTCCATAAAGAACGTTTACTAGCTGTCTGTGCTCAAGCAGTTCTAATGTATGATTGATTTTTCTTCATCCCAAATCTTTGTGAAAGGAAAGTGGGGCATCTTTACAGTTGCTTATGTTTCTAACTTCGGTGCTTTAGCTAGTAATTGTCTGGTGCTCTGCAGTTCTTGATTTGTGTAATGAATTTGATGGTTTCTTCCATTGTTAGTCGGGTTGCAGGTATTAGCTTATATACATTTCTTTAAACCTTTTACGATAGCTCTCTGTGTGTTTAGGTAAGGACTAAATGCTTGTATGCAATACTTCAGTTTTTATCAAGTGAACACCACAAAGTCAGGAATGGAAGCTCTACGTAACGGCTATAATTTTTCAAGACATTTACCATATATTGCATGGCAGTGCTCAGTAGTCTTCAAATATTGGGTGATATTGACTCCTGCATCATTTATTGTCTGAACAACGGGTAGCTCGACGTTGTTCGCTGTGTATGTATTTGTACCCTGGTGACCAATATACATCACAATACATTTGGAAACGTTTAGCTGCAAGTACCGAATTCTAAATCATTCAAATCGTTTCTATACGATTTTCTGTGGCTATGAACTGTCCTCTTAGTGTTGTATCGCTCTCCGTATTTTGATATTCTCTGTGTGTAACAAGATCGATAATAATAGAAGACTGAGAAGGTCATTTGCATATAGAGACAATAACGCTGGTCCCCAAACTACCATGGGAGACCTCACTAGGAACTTATCATCCAGACAACTTGCGGTCAACCGATATCCTTTGTTGCTTTTGATTTTTGAGAACATACCAAATTTATTGTGCTTTTAGTTTTTCGAGATAATCATATTTCCATCTAGATAATTTAACTACTGGTTACGAATTCCGTGGTTTAAATTTGTCACATCTATGTTTGGACTTGCTAGGTGACAGTTTGTATGTTTATTGCCAGTACTTTTTTTTCGGACTGAATTCTCAATGTGAGTTTTCCGGTCTCTCGGTAATCAGCGTTGTTGTGGATAGGGGATAATGTGTCACAATCCATCTTGAATTTTAATTTTCTTTTCATCCTGGTCTCAAATTCTGTACATCGACTTCCTTAATCCGATAATATACATTTATGCGTTATGGAAAGTAATGTTCTTTATATTAAGAACGGAACCTGCACGATTTATAAATTCTCGAAAGGCTTTGTTAGTACTTGGATGTTTATACTAATTTTCTCCTGCTTGTAACATTGTTGTCTCACCTCCTTACTATTGTGGCATGCTTTCTATTTTTCTTTACTCATGTTGTGTGGCACTTTGTAGGACTCCATAATGAACTTTTTGTTATACTGACTTGTAGATTTTTTTTATGCTATGACTATTGTTGCTGCATCTGATGGTATGGAGACAGATTTTTTGTACCGAGCTTCTTCAAGGAGTTTGGGAGCGTCTTCGATTATGAAGAATACTAGTGAGAGAACTACAGAGGTCTGCGACGTCTTTTGTGTCATTTGGGGCTTTTTTGATAGGCCAAATCTGGGCGTTGGGGTTCTGAAGATCTACAGAATTCGGTCGTCATATGTAGTCAGTCCGTCTACGGAGCTATTTTGAAACGAGACAAACACTACCTCCACCTGTTGGGGAAGCCTAATCAAGAAGACCTATGTAAACAGGCTCTTGCCAAAGGTCTGTTGACTTGCAGAATTATGGTCTACTATAATATTAGTACTGCTCTAATAATAAACCTAATCCTAAAATTGTAGATTTCTCATGATTTAACTGCCTAATCTATAAGATCTTACGTGGAAATCACACCATCGACTACACCAACTCACTGTATCGTATCAATTACCAATACATGATGTAGAGCAAGGTTAGGCTAGAGAAGGAACAATACATTTAATATGAATAGAAGATATACGGTAACATTCAATGGGGACCACGCCTGGATGGCCCAGCCATGCCATCCGATCAACTCCAATTCATCCAATTAACTGTTTCCGCATTTTCCATCGTTAGGTATTTCTCCGCGTTAGATATTGAATATCTATTTTCCGAGTAGTCTTGCGTTCGGCTTTGAAGATTGTGTGGTTATGGTCCAATGTCACTTCAAACTAATGAGCTTTTACATTCGTGGCAACATTTCTTAGCCATGTTGTAGATCGCTGTTGTTGAAGAGTTGACCTAATCTATATCAGTCGGTTGAATCTCCACGCTTGGAAATAGGCTTTTTAAAGTTTCTTAAGTTTCCGAGACATCACTGTTGAACATACTAGGCGTGACGCACCTGGTGAAATCGCGCTGTAATACTTTGAATACTTCGAGGAATTGTGGGCACGAGTCTATCATGCCGTGCTCGTGAAAGCATGACCAGGCTTCTATATTGTTGAATTAGAATGGCATGAGTCGAGGGGTGGGAGACGAAAAAGTCTTGATCCTAAACAAATTAGGTATCTCTTCCGTTAAGATTAAGATATAAAAATATGCGAAACTATGAAGAAAATAAACAGGGGCGGTAGCGTTAATAACCAGTTAACATGATGGAGGGGGGATAACCTGAATCTAGTCGTATCTGTAAGGCAGAAAATTTTGTGGTTTAGTGGGATTTAACCAACCAATTGTATTGACGTAAATCTCCTACGTCAAGTACCTCTTTGTCTCAAATATATAACCTTCAATTGGTTTAACTTTCCATCTAGAAATCGTACTACAAGCAAAACTGTGCGATTACGTTTAATGGGAGTCTACTCACGACGCTATATAAGTTACAATAATATACTCGAGTTATATTAATTTTGACAAAAAAGGCAGTTGATATTCGAACACTTTTCTTGCTGAAATCTAGAAATACACAACTCCAAGCTCTCAGCCCTTTTAAATCACGCACGGTTCTTTATCCATTCAACGCCACATTTGGTTTGCTTTCTTTAATCTCTTGAAATATTACTTACTTACTTACGCCTGTTACTCCTAATGGAGCATAGGCCGCCGACCAGCATTCTCCAACCCACTCTGTCCTGGGCCTTCTTCAAATATACTTGCTTAAAAATTGATCTAGTAAAAAAAATGAGTCTAAGTAGTCAAACCTCAATCATTTATCACGAATGACTAAACTTCACTAGTCATGAACATTTTCCCAGAACATTCGTGGTGGACCATCGAAAACATATGCGGAACATGTGGCATTCTTGCGCTGTCGCTAACACCTCCGGAATTCATTTGTGATCTCTATTAAAAAGCACGTTAAAGTTGTTACCTTCAAATGGACTTTATTTGCAATTGCTCTTGACAACCAATTGCTTGTCGAAACGCATCCTCCACAAGACGCGCCAGCTCTCATAATGAGCATTAGAGTCTTATTAACATTAATATTCTAATGCATGAAAATTAATCGTCTGTTTATATCAACAATGTTCTCTGTGAAGTATCAACCTAATTGAATAATTTGTTAAGGGGAAATCTGCAACATTTGCAACAGTTTGATCTTGCCTGTGAAATAGCATGTAACATACTGTTGTCTGAGAATATATATTATGATTGATATCACGATAAGTGAAAGTAAAAATTTAAAAAAATGATACATAATGTTCTAACAAAAAACAGACTCATAAAACTTCAGCGGTAAATAAATTCCCAAAATAAATAGTTCTGTAAATCTCATTAGTTTTAATGGACACCCCAGTTGATGGCGTTCGATCACGCATTCTCACTAGATCATGAGTGAGTACAGTGGTAGAAATTTCTTGCAACCTCTAGCCAGCTTAGATCGAACTCTTCTCTACATATCGACAGCTTTCTAAACAGGTCTTCGAACCTTTTCATTTCTGACTCCTGATTTGACTGGATTAGTATAGTTTAGTTATTAACTTGTTACCTGTAAAGACTTTGTCTAACACTGACTGTCTGTGGTATCTTACATTCATTTGTGCTAATCTAGTTTAACCTGCCTTAAGTAACGTTATTTAAGGAGTTCTTGCTTGACACATCAATTTGACTACTTCGAACTGTCATTTTGGCGCTAGGATGGAGTCTGTGATAGGGCAGTTGAATATACACTTGAATTCCAAAGCTTTCGAGCATAACATAGAACGGTTTGATATCTGGAGTATGACCAGCACGATTCTAAAGATGACAAAATTGTGTCTCATTTCTTTACGTTCATCAGAAAGGGTACTTACAGCTTGGCATTTTTAGATAATCCCGTTTCACTTCCCTATGAAACCCTCAAAGAAATACTGCTAGATATTCAAAAGTGTGCAGAATTTGGATACTGCGAAAGAACAAAATTTCATAAACATATTCGTCAGAACAGCCTGAAGGTTTGGACAGTTTTTCTTCAGATTTCAGAAACAATCCATCAAGTGTAATTTTGGTGAATACTTTAATGTCCTGATGCGTGACTAATAAGTTTCAGGAATTAGCATATCAAATCTGAAAATAGTGCATTCAGAAATGCCAAAGCGTTGCTTTCGTGAATTATCAACTACATGTATTGATCATGAGGCAGTGGATGAAACTGATTACCAGGACATCAAGATTTCTACTACACCATTTAATTGTCCTAATTCGATTCTTACTGAAAGTCATATTGGTAGGCGTCTGATTAACAATAATACC